TAAACGGTGACAGATAATTAACAATGGTCTGGTATACGTGGCTGTGCGTGGGCGATCTTTCGCTTCTCAATTCTGTCCAGATTCGTGGCTTGATCATCGTCTCCCTCGAGAGAATCGTTTTCTTTTCTTCGAAACCACAGAAACTAAATTGTATTTTACGTTTAAAATAATCGTATCGAGATTCGATAAGATAATTCTCACAAGGAATAAGCTTGCGATAGAATTTTTTATTTTTATTTCCGTTGAAAAACAGAAAAATGTACATTTTCGTTCGCACTTGCTCGTGATAATTATTTTACCGAATAAGAGAGTAATTTAATATTCTAGAAATACCGTTTAAAATTTCAAACACGCGTGAACAAAAGGTATCTATATCTAAAGTTATTCTCAATGGAAAATTCAAAATTTTTCACCGCTTGCCATTATTCGAAACGAGATGTTTCGATCGAATTCATTTGCTACGTAGAATATTGGAATAATAGAGAAGATTGATGATATTACGAGTAGTAGGATTATACAGACCCAGTATGATGTAATGCAGACTCACCTTCGCCACAAGCTGACGTAAAATCATCCATCGTTTTAAAGAATCTGAAAGGAAAGAGAACGAATATATTTACCTTTGGAAAATAAAAAAAAAAATAACGTATGTTCTGATAAAAAAAGATTCTCATTATTTTCTTTCAACGAACTATTTATATAACTATAAATTTACAAACACGAATCTTTCTATAATTTTCTACTTATTGCGATTTTAATCAATGTTATTTGCAATCAAAAAGATTAGATTTATAATTTACCCTTGAACATGAGTTGCATTACGTCAATTTCGTATTTCACACATACGTATATTAATATTTATAAACAAGTTATATACAAAAATCATATCCTTCTCTATAAAATTTACATAAAATAATAAATTAATTATGGATTATTTTAAACGAACGTACTTGAACAATTTATATCGTGAGATACGTTTTGATTGTATCGATGAAAATAAAAAAAAAAAATAAAAAAAAAAAGAAAAAAAGAAAAACACGCGAATCATTGTCCCCGCAATTTTGATTGATTTACTTCTCGTAAATTGTAACGTAGCATGATAAGGGGAAAATTTCATACGAGTCTGCGCATGTTTCTCATGCATAGAGTAATAAAAAGACGGAGAAGGGGGCAAAGCGAGCGGCGTCCTTCCCTTTACTTTCATGCTGTTGATAATTTTTCAGGATAACCGAAGATAGCGATCGAATTTCCATGGACTCGATAAAAAAAAAAAATAATCAGCTAAATAAATATTCAGATATGGTAACCGGTCTCGAGAAATGACAGTGTAATAACTGCGTAATAGGCATGCAGGGACTCTGTAGCAAACGAAGGAATATGGTAATGAAGCTTAAGAACGTGAATGTTACACAGCCTGAATTGCGGCAAATATACCTACCTAAGAGTGACAATTCGCGAAAACGTCGAGAAAACATCGATGGAAATGGAAAAATATCTATTTACGCGTACGTTATTATCATCGAAATTCAATTCACCACCAGCGAAATAAATATCCCCCTTAATCGAATTTCGTCGTAATCGTATATAAATGTTTCGTATGAAAATTTTATTTTATTAACGATAACGTTTAAATAACGTAATCGTTTACGATCGATACGTAGAACGAACGAAGAGAAATAGAAAATATACGAAGAATACGAGAAGAGATGAGAAAAACTCGGTAAAGCTTGGCAGATTCGAAAATGGGATACCAGTGGTGATAATTGATTGGGCGGAGTCGGGCATCCCTTCTTCTTCTTCTTCTTCTTCTTCTTCTTCGTTCAGAAGCAGAAGAGAAAAAAAGAAGAAGAAGAAGAAGAAGAAAAAGAAGACAGAAGGAAAAAGGGAGGTCTTATTAACGGATTATGCCTACTTGGACTAGTCGATAAATTATCGCAAGGTGTTCATTCCCCTTTTGCATTCCGTCGAGATTCCAGAAACATTCCAAACGCGCCAAACAAGTTGGGAGAGAGAGAGCTCGGTTTTGCTCCCTCCACTCTGATATTAATACCACTTTAATTCCTCATCTCGCTATTACGCACGCTTGCATTTTAGTTACGACGTTTATGTTGAAACGTTTGCTTCTTCGATTAAATAGTATCTTAAATTGGCTTTACTCGTTCGCAATATTGCTGGATAAATCGTATAAAACGACGTTAACGGTGAAAGTATTTGCCATTAAAATTATCCGTATGAAACATCTACGCGGCTGCTTAATTTTATACACGCGTTTAGCATAAATAAAGATAATTCTTCGATCTCTCCGCTCGCAAATAGAAATTTTAAACGTAAGAGCAAAAAAACGCTGTTCGAAAAGAAACCTTATTTCATCTTACAACCATTCGATCTAACTTTTATTAATAGATTCACCAACAAAAGGAACGAAAACTGTTCCGATAAGCGTGAAATCGTTTCGATTTCTCCTCTCAAATACGTTTAAGATGAGCTCGGTTCCACGAAAAGTTATTACTCGTCATTGTGTGAGAATAGGGTGGCCCAATAGCGTTGCTCTATAGAGATTTAATAGGGCCGTTTTAGCGGCTCTGCTCCCTTTCACCTTCTTCGACCCAGACTCCCTATATAACCACCGATCAGACTAACGCGATTACAAATAATAATAACTTCACCGTTAATACCAATCGCTTTTCACCATTTCCTCCATATCGATAGATTACAAGTATAATTTAGTCTTATCGCGTATGCACGCTCGTTATGAAATATTTATTTATTTTTTTGTAAAAGACAAGCGCAAGCGAACGAATAAAGATAATTAACGAGAAATATAATCCGATATAGCTTCTTTTTGTCTACGTGACGTTGACTATATTGATTTTAAATTCTACGTAATCGAATCAAAAGATGTTTCTTAAGATTGTAATAACGTACAATTTTTAAGAAAAATTATAAATACCTATCTTGCGTATCATTTTGAAGATTTATTTATCAGAAAAGAAATGCCTTGTGAGAATAAAATATGGAAAAATGGTTGACGAAGAAGACCCGCGCGGCGCGCCGTGACGTCGATGGTATGTGAAAAATGTACGTGTGACGAGCGTTAAATTAATTTGACTTGGAATTTGAATTACAAATTCGACATGGATGTGGAGATGTCCGCGGACAAGGCGTTTCGCACTCGCTTCGAATTTATGGATCGTTCTAAGAATCAACCATCGAAATCGATCATCGTTGTTCGAACCCCATTTCTGTTTTTCACGTTTGTCGAAAAAAGTCAAATTGGAAAGTTTAAAATAAAAAACACAAAACAGCAAAAAGAAGAAGAAAACACATCGGTCGAAAACAAAATAAAATACTTATATTATATATAGCGCGATAAATTTTTCCAAAGGAGTTTTTGCTTTTATTTCGTGTTTACGTTTTGCAATTTGAAAACGTTAAAGAATATGTACACGTATTTTTTCTCATTCGTATAAAGAAGCCTTTGCACGATAAACTCGAACACCGAAAGCATCGAAAAGAAGGTGGCGACCACCGATATTCGTGATATTCGGTCTGCATAAAATCGGCAAAACTTCAGAGATATTACGCATCGCGGAGGTGAACCGTAATAAGAAGATGCTCGTGAAACTGCAGAAAAGACATTTATGGTAGCTCGATCGAGCAAAAGGGAAGATGATTCGAATATGACGCGGTGTGCGGTCTTATGCGCGCGTGTATATCGTGCACGCATAAAAATAAATCTAAAATCGCCCGTTAAATCACTTTTGTCACCTATGAATTGTATATACATATTATATATACGCGTATAAAAATATATTTTCCTATAAAATGAATTAACGTATGAATGAAAAAAAATTCACTCGTAATTGTAATAAAATGAAATTGTCTCGAGATAATTTGTCGAAAAATTGTCGTAAAATATTTGATAATGGAAAATTAACCAATCAAATTCGTTCATTACGAACGTTTTAGAAAATAGAAAAAATGAATAGATACGATATTCGAAGAGATCGGTAAAATGGGTTAACGTTAAAAATCGATTTCATTGGTGCGAATAAAAGAATTATTAAATATGAAAATGAGCTAAAGTGAACTAGGCGGCTGGTGAAAAAAAAATGTGATAGTTAAAAGTGACATTATACTTGTCACAATGTGATGTTTTAAATTATCTTATATAAAATAATTATACTTTGATGATAAATTCAAAATTAAATGTCTTAGATTTATAATCCACTGCACAGTCTATTAGACCATGTGTAATTGTCATCATCATAAAAGAGGATGCCCGGAATCTGAATCTGATCCGTACGTAACCTAAACGTATTCATTAAACGTAAATATAAATACATAGATACCTGTATCTATATAAATATAACACGTAATAATTACGTATAAAAATGAAACGATTGAAATTAAAATTCTCTATACAATTTTTAATTTTTACGCGATATATCTCGCGTTCGTTCCACGCGTTATATATTTTGGTTATTTTCCTCCGTTGATATATAATTGAAGAAAAATAAAGGAAAAATAAAATAAATGGATGAAATGAAAACAAACATATCGAATTGAATGCAGTTGTACGGAAAATTAATTACATTGAATTACATTAATAGAAAATAGGATTTATAATAAGCGAGTAAATAAATAAATAAATAAATAAATAAATAAAAAGATATTTATTTAATTTTCTATATGATTCATACATGGACGAAGATCATCATTCTTGCAAGAAACATGGCAATCACCCTTGGACGAAAGCATTCAATCCTCTGGTGAATTTTGCTCACCTCATTGTTTCCATTCAAATTCAAACCCGCGAACTCCAAGAACCCCTCCAAGAACACCTCCAAGAACACCTCCAAGAACACCTCTAAGAACACCGCCCAGAACACCCTTGTCGGAGTTAACCCGCGAAATTCCACCAAGCGCGCCGCTCAGAATCCTGAGAGAGCGGCCCGATCTATCAATGGGAGTAGCTATAGCGTCTCATCGTTTGGATTGTAAGTTCGACTTACGATTCGTTTATTCAACACATGCATCGATAACAGGGACGATTATTATTGTTCCGTAGTCGAGGCGATAAGCGAATACGAGGATATGGACGAGACAGATATAGAGGAATCGGATGTATCCGGCAAGTTTCTCTTCTCCTCTCTCTTCTCTTTATAAAAATTATCGCAAGAATTTTTTACACCGATATCAATTTCCCCAACTAGGAGAACTTTTAGCGCAGGCTTTTGCGCAATACCGTGCAGCTCCACCAAGGATCCCTACCTCGACCCCCTTACGCCCCCCACCAGTCGCTATTGAAAGAACTTACAGATTGCACCGCGCAAGATCACCGCGATTCCCAGCAGTGCCCAGAGCACAAATACCACCTCGAATGACTAGAATGACGCCTTGTGGCAAATGTTTAAGGGTAATCGTTTAAATTGAATTAAATCGATACGTATTAAAAAAAAAAAAAAGCTAATACTCTCTTCTTCTTCTTCTTTCATTTT